TCCCTCCTATTTGGGGATGGGAGGACATGTGCGGAGAACCCTTTAATAGGGAGACCAGTTATGGTGGAACAAGATGAGCTCAGCTTTGGCACCCAGAAAGGAAAGGAAACCTCCACCTCATCATGGTCACAAGACCTTTGGCAGTGGTGTAAACAGACTGGAGAATGGTCTGACTCTTAGAGCAGTGTCCTGTTTAGACCTTGGAAGGACAAGGCAGTCTCCATGAGCCTCTGGGCCTTCTGATCAGAGACATCTCAGCCTGTTGCATTCCATGAGTCATCTCCTGAGCAGTGACCCCTTCCCATAACCAGAACAGGAACTCCTGTGGATAAAAACCTGGGCCTCGGATAGTACGTGGGTCCAGTCCATATTTTGTCTTCACCGATTACCAGCTTTGGGACCCTGGGCGAAATATTTTTCTGTGCTTCAGTGTCCTCTTGTATAGTATCGATGATCTGTACCCAAGGGTGGTGCAGACCCATGACTTAGTACATAAAATAGCACGGTGCTTGGCGTCCTAGCATGGAGACATTCTCAGTAAAACTGGTAATTTATTTTTAGGGTTAACCCTGTTCATTACCTGCATAACATTTGGAGGTGGGAAATAGGAGTGCCCTGTACAGCCCTGGCAGGGACGGGTAGTGCCTCCTAATCACCTGTGATTCCCTCCTCTGTTACAGCCCCCCATGGGTGAAGAGGGCAACCACAAGCGACACCCAGTAGCAGCAGGAGGTGGCGGCGGTGAGGGCAGGAAGCGGTGCGCCTCCCAGTCTTCCAGCAGGCCCACCACCGTGATCAGCCAACCCCCCACACTGCCCGCTGGCCAGCCCATCCGGGAAGATGCCAAATGGACAACCCAGCACTCAGCACACTGACTTTGGGGAAGTGAAAAACCCCTTGGCCCTGGGGGTTTGGGGGGAAGGGGGATGTGCAAGAGTCCATGGGGCACCCAGTCCCAGGAGAGGGGACAGAGAAGGGACAGGCCTCTAGTCATTAGGATGGGCCTTTGTGCTGAGTACACCTTTGGGGCTATCAGAGGTAACCCTGGGCAGGAGCCTCCACACATTCCCTTTCCCTCCTCTCCATGACGTCTTCACATCCTAGCTTCTTCTAAGGGGGGAGGGAACAGGGGAGATTTTATATATATATATATATATATATATATTATACATATACATATATATATCAAGTTTTAAATTATTGACAGTTCATTTGGATTACCAAATCACTCTGTAGCCCTGCCCATGGCTGATAGGCCGCAGCCCTGGACCCCATCCCACAGCCTCCTGCTCCCCCTCAAGCCAACTATGCAGCCCACAAGAAGGCCCCGTGGGCCCCATTGCCCAGCACTGTCCCGTTGAAGGCTCTGCAGCGCCCCTGGGCCCCACAAGCACCGGCCCGTTATCATTGGGCTTGCCATCACCACGCTCTCCCTGCTGCCCCGTGCCCTTCCGCCATCTTCCGGGAGAAGGAAACCAAAGGATCTAAAAGTGTGGGGGAGGTTTGGCCTCTCCCACTCCCCTCTCCCCATACCCCTTACTCCCCAGCCCAGAGAGACGCTGCTCATACCAGAAAAGACTATTGAAAGATGATTTATTTTATTTTTCTCTGACCTTATCATCCTTTGGGAAGAAGGAAAAAAAAAAAATGACAAAACCGACCATAAAAGACCAAAAAAAGAAAATCAGAAAACCCCCACCTAATCCACAGCAAGTGATGTTTTTCTCCTACCCTTGGAATTTGTTTGTTTTGTTCTTTGAAATAATATTTTTTTAAAAGTTGCCTTATTGTGGAGCGGGAATCTGAAATACCCAAATGCCTGTTTTCCTCGGTGGAGTCCACTCAGAACTCTCACCTTCTCTGGATGTGCCTGGGCTGGATTGACTAGACTCTTCCTCTGGACTGAATTGCATGTACAGTGCCTCCTGCCTTGGAGGCAAGAGAGTTGGGGGTGGCTCGGATGAGAGCCATGCCCGAATATCCCTGCTGTTGCATCGTTTGAAGCTGATGTCCTGTGTCTACACTGCTGCCACTGTCGTGTCCTCGCTCTGCTTGCTGTTGCCTCACACTAGGCCCTGTCCCTGCTGTGATACCCTTCATCCTACCCTTGGAACCCCAAGGCCAAGTTTGCTTCAAACTGTTGGAGAAGAGCGTTGGCCTGGATCTGGGACAAACATGTCCTCAGCTTGACCATCTCCCCACTTCAGAGGGGAAAGGTGAACACCTGGCAGCTGAGGCTTGGAAGTGTTTCTTATGTTGAGACCTCAAGGAGGCTTTGTCTCAAAAGGTGGAGAAAAATGCCGTTCTCCTCCCTTGGGTCTGATGGGGTGTCTCCATCTTGCATTCCCCTCTGCAAGCCATCTCTGCCCAGCCTCCAATCGACCCTGCCTGGGAACAGGGGACGAGGAGGAGTTGAAGGCTGGGGAGAACCCTGCCAGTTGGAGAAGCCCCATGGCAGGAAGGTATATGTGGACATAGAGTATACCTGACTTCTCCGGCCACTGACTGCGTGGGTTGGGCTGTGAAGCAATGGAATGGCTGGAGTCTACAGGCACTGGGAGGTGGGAGGTGGGGGTGAGGAAGGACTGACCCACACGGACTGGACTGGGTGTGGGATGACAGTGCATCCACCCCCAGCGGGGACCAGGCAGCACTGAAAAGTTTGTGGTAATTTGCTCAGTTGCTGACACTTTCTTGGCCCTTTTTTCCAACTCCCTCTGTTGGGCCCAAAGGTTGGGAGTAGGGGGCAGTACCCCAGGGCTTGCCTCTGTCTTGGGCACGTCGTTGCTTTTGGCCTGCCCCCTCATCTCTGCCTTGCCAGTGGTCGGTATGTTGGGAAACCCATCTCAGTTCCTGTGACCCAGTTGTCTCCAAAGCCACGGATGAGTGTCTGATCTCTGCTCTGACAGCGGGATCTGCAGCTTTCCCTGCCCTGTCCGGTGCCCGCCCTGTGTTGTACCAGACACGACGTCTGCACCCCTGCCTCCTCTGCTGTATCTCCCTTTGCTTCAGGTTGCGCAGCCCTGTACTGTATCCAGCACCACAGAAACCTCAGTGTTTGTCCTCTGCTGGGTTTGGGGCACAAGGAAGCTGGGGTGTGGGGACAGGCTGTTCTGATAGTTTATTCCCAGGCCAGGGGCTGCCATCTTCTCCTGATCCCTCCCCAAGGACACCCCAGAAAGAGGAAGCCCCTTTGAGGTGAGGACTTCATCTCAACGTAGGCTGAGGATGGGGAGAAAGGAGACTTTTTTCTTTTTCCTTTTTTCTTCCTTTTTTTTTTTTTTTTTTTTTGTAACATATTAGGAGTTGATGTTGCAAAGAGTAGTTTACATCTTCACTTTCTGAAGACACTTGAATTTAGGACCGACGTATCTGTGACAAGCATGCCAGGAGTGGCAGGGGCCATCAGGGCTTGCCACTTCACACCCACCATCCTCTCATGGGAATCCAAGATCTGAGACACAAAGCAACAGCCTGCCCAGATCCTTCTGTTCATCCTGAATCCTCCCAGGATTGGTCCATGCCAACACGCCCTTTGTGTGTCAGCCCTGCTCAGGGCAGGTTCTCACCCTCTCCTGAACCTGGGTACAGGTGCACTACCAGCAGAGCGGGGCTGCCAGCCGAGCCCCAGCCTGGACTCGGGCTCAGATCAAGATGCTGAGCCCCATGTCAAAGTTGTGTTCTGTTTTGTTCATTTGTAGCTTCCCTTCCCCCTTTCCTGGCGATTGATTTTGGAAAAGAGAGTAAGCTGCTCAGAAGGCCCTAGAAATTGGGAGAGGGGCAAGGAAGGCAACTAGGGTTGGGGTTTTTGCCAAAAGCCTGGTAGAGCAGTCTGGATCATCTGGTGTCCTTCTGAGTGGGACCCTGTAGTGCCTCCTGTGTGGAGGGCCCCTGGACTGGCCCCAGCCCCACCCTCTCCTTCAGCCGTGTTGACGGTGGCGGCAGAGAGGATAGGAACTTACAGCCCATTTCTCACTGGAGAGGAAAACGTGTCACCTGGCTTTGCGGAGAAGGTTCCACCTTGTGCTCATAATACATCATCTTTACCCTGTGCTAGGATATCACACGTAAAAGGACAAACAATGTAAAATACTTGAATGAGCTTGTATTATAACATTAATATTATTGAGAGTATCTGCTTTCCAGGCTGAAGTGATTCATTATTCTAGTCTGCTTTAGTCCTTTGTAATTTGTGGTAATTATGCTTTTCTTTTTAATACAAAAAAAATGTATAAAAATAAAAACTTGAAAAGGCACAACACTGGCTGGTCTCCCATCTGGAATACAACCGTTGGGTGTGAGGAGGGGAGCTGGTGAGGGAGAACCCTGCCTGGGACAGGGGTCCCTTAGCTTTTAAGGCAGCATGAGAGCTGCCAGACTTGAATTCGTGCTCACCTTGAATCTTAAGATGTGGGAGCTGCACCAGTGCCATAGAGCAGACCAGCCCAACAGCCAGCGAAGTTTCCTGCACATGCTGTGGCCTGGCCCGGAGGGAAGAGCCGGTCAGGAAGGTGGGGGTTGCTGTGATTTCTCACAGGAGGGCAGGCACCGCCTCTCCCTGAACAGACTTCCCTGCTGGGGTGTCAAGTTCAACACTGGCCTTGTGGAGTCCAGGGGAGCCTGAGGATTGATGCTAGGGGGGAACCCTCACCCCCATTGGGACTGGCCTTTGGGCTATCGGTGGCTTTCCCCCAACCCATGAGGCTAGTCTCTGGCAATAATATTCTGAATGCCAGTAGGCCTAGATGTATAATTAAAAAAGTTATGGCTTTATTTATCCATTTGGCAACTGTCCCATGCCTGGCTTTCCGGAGAATTTCACCAGCCAGCAGGTGGGCAGGGAGTAGGAGATAGTGGCCAGGGCTTATGCAGATTGATTCGGACAGGAAGACAGTCAACCTCACTCCCACACCTGTTAGAAATGCTTGTGAAAGGCCTGGAGCTCTGAGAAGCCACGTGACCGAGAGTTGTGCAGAGGCGAGAAAATACTGCAGTGGCTGATGGAGCTAAAAGACCAGTTTATTTCCATGCTTCCTCGCACACATTTTCTGCAAATTTGACACCTGAGCCTTGGCTTGAGCCTTATCCGTTTACCAACCTCAGGGCCCTTTTGTTTTATGCAGAAGAGGACAGGGCTGGGCCCCCTTGCCAGGGCCCACCTGCCAAAAGGGATGAAAGGTGGCCGTCTCTTTACCCCCTGGGTGCCCTGCTGGAACTTCCGAATCTCAAGGTCTTAAAGGGAAAAAAAATTTCCTCATTTTCTACCCATTTTTTGAGGATATTGAAGGCGGGCCGTTGTACGAACGGTTACTGGTAAGACCCAGGTTGTGGGTTCAGGCTAGTGGCTGTAAGGACTTAGCTAAGGATATAGGTCACCCACCAGGTGCATCAACTCCTGAGGGGTGAGTGGGTGGGGCTTTGCCAGGCCAGGGAGGACTCTACCTGGAAAGTGCCCAGTTGGCTCAATGGGCAGGTCCTCTGGATTCCTAGTGTTGATGGGAAGAAGTACTTGATGGTTCTGGAGATTTGTCCCTATCAGATGTTAAAGTATTTTATAAAGCTACAGGGGATGGTTATCTTGATATGTGAGCAGTGAAAGTTCAGGAATAGACCCAATTATGTGGGAGAATTTGGTGGCTGACTCTGATGGCCTCTCGAATCAGAGGGTTCTGATTGTTCTTGGGAGCCCTGGGCCCCTGGCAAAGACCATGGCTGCTGAGGGCAGGACAGGGTGGGGATTGCTCCCACCCCAGCAGCTCTGGTTTTGTTTCAGATAAGCTTCCTGGTAAAATTGCATTTGAAAGGCGTCACTGCTAAAGCAACTGAGGAATCGTTTTGGGGGAAATGCGGATTTTGCCCTTTGTTCAGCCATGTTTCTCATGCCTTCTCATTGGAGAGAGAGGGTTATAGCCTCTGGCCCTGCTTCAGAGAGTCTGATTTGGCGCTTCAGTCAAGTGTCCCCAAACTTTGAACCTTCCCTCTGGACTAAAGGGCCCTCAGTTTAGCAGGTCCACAGGGTTTGGCCCTTGGTTCCCAAGTTTGGCTGAAGGTACTGGCGTTCAGTCTGCACCCGTGGCGTCAGCTGTAATCCAGGGAGAAGCTTCTATGTCATTTTTGTTTTCAGGGAGGGCTGATGTGTGTGTGCAATGGGTCAGAGGTCACTGTCCCTGTTTGGGAGGGGCAATGGGAACTTGACCCCTACCACTATTGCCAGGCTGTCTGGCTCTGGCCTGAGTAGGGTATGAGAGAAGTATTGGGGACAGGAGTGGGGGAAAGTGCTCTCTTCTGGTCCCCCCAGCCCCTGCAGAAGGGGCTCCCCAGAGCCACACGGCCTCCAGTGGCTGCCACCTGTCACTGATCACATCTTGCCTGCACAGAGTCATCTGGGCCCCTCTCCCCCTTCTCAGCAGAGGACTGTGGGGACTTGTCATTGTGGGGAGTGGTTTCTCCCTCTTCCGTAAGCTACTCCTGGTCCCCTGGAGGGACAATAGGGGCAGTCAGGGAAGCCTTGACCCTGTCCTCGGCCCTGCATTTCCTGGAAGCCGGCCTTCCCCCTGCCCTCGCGGTGCTATCGTTAGTGCGTGGCTGAAGAAGTAAGTTCCTAGGTGCAGTCAGGAGGCCTCAGGCCACCTTAGCAGTCCGCTGCTGAGGGGACGGCCAGGATGGCACTCGGGCCCTCTCTCACTCCATCTTTGGGGGGTCGGGGATGCTCTCAGAGAGTGGGGTGAAGCCTAACAGGAGGATGTGTCTCTCGTAGGCCTTGGTCTGCTTGAACACGGTGTCTGTCCCGTGCAGATGGTCCAGCACCCCCAGCACCCCGTAGCACTGGTTGAACCTGGAGGAGAGAAGAGGATGCTGGAGTCCTGTGTGCTGACCTCATTGTGCCAGCCTCTCCCACATTTCTAAGCCCTCCCCTTCACCTCTCTCCTCCACGCCGACCGACTGCATCGAAAGCCCAGGGGAGATGGGGCCCACTTCTCTGGGGCCACCTAGACTGGAAATCTGTGAGCTTCCTCTGAAAAGCTCTTACTGTGACTGCTGTGCACACAAGTCAGATCCTGTGGCTGAATCAGAACCCCCTGGCCAGGACCGGTTTGGCTCAGTGGATAGAGCGTCGGCCTGCGGACTGAAGGGTCCCAGGTTCGATTCCGGTCAAGGGCATGTACCTTGGTTGCGGGCACATCCCCAGTGGGGGGTGTACAGGAGGTAGCTGGTCAATGTTTCTCTCTCATCGACGTTTCTGACTCTCTGTCCCTCTCAATTCCTCTCTCTCTAGAATAAATAAAATATATTTTTTTTAAAAAAAGAGCCCCCTGGAATACCCTTTAAATCAGATTTCCAAGCCCTGCTCCTCCCGCCCCCTAGATACTGATTCAGCGTATTTAGAGGGAACTGAGAGGCTCCCCAGCCACACTGGAGAAAGCCTGGAAGCTTTCAGTGCACAAGTCCCCTTGAACTGCAAGCAGGGTTATGCACTTATGCATTTTTCTAACAGTGCCCTAGCTTACTTTGCATACTCGAGGTCCAGGACCTAGCTAAAGGTTAAAATCCCAGTTGCAGGAAGAAGGAATGAGCAAGGTGGCCTGTGGTCCAGTGTGGTCATTCTTCTCCCCGCCTCCAGACCTCTGCCTCCACTAGCGCCACACGTAAACGGAGACATGGGTATCTGCTAGCGGAAGTAAAGGTGGAGTTACTGGCCCACAGCAGGCAAGGGACCCTTACTTGAGATGGTGATAGTCATGGAACTCGGGTGAAGGCAGGAAGGGTAGGTGGTAGCCGCAGTGGGAGATGGTGGTGATGATGAGTGTCAGGGAGAACCACACCATGATGGAGGACAAGTGGGAGCCCATGACTACGGGCCCCACCATCGCCGGCAGCATGTTGGAGACCTGCAAGAGAAGGGCTGTTGTCAGGTGGGCCCCAGGGAGGGGGAAGGGACCTGGTTGGGTGTCCCCTTTGCCCCAGGGCGGTACCAGGAAGACTTCCTTGTCTCAGGTCTGGAGAATCTGAAAGTTCCAAGAGCCTGGTTTGCTGGAATCACTCACCTTTGTATCTTGGGGCAAGTTATGAATGGTTTGAGCTCCAACTTCTTCATTAGTAAAGTGAGAATTAAAAGGGTTCTTGGGAAGATTAGATGAGGTAATGTATGATGGGCATCTGGGAGAGCCTGGCATATGCTAGGCCAACAACAGTGCTAGCTATTGAATGAATGGGGAGCGGAGGGGCCGGTGTGCTGTAGTTCTCGGCAGGAGACCTAGGGAAGGTGGCAGGCCTGAGCCTCGCTTCTGGGGAGTGAGCTCCACTCACCACATGCTCGACAGGGTGGGCGTAGAGCGAGATCACGCCAATGGGAGCCGTCCACTCGTGGTGTTTCTTATGGATTTTCTTGTAGAACACTGGGTGGTGGAGGAGCCTGGAATAGAGTTAATAGTTCATAATCTGCCAATCTCCCTTCCCCGCTTTCCCACAGACCTCGAGAAACCGAGGTGTGGGCCCCAGGGGTTACATCTGCGGAGCGAGGCTGCAAACACACAGACGGGCCTTTGAGCTCTAACCCCACCTCTTAGGCTGCACAGTTTGGGAGGGAGTGACTTTGCCTCTGTATTAGCTGTAAAATGGGGATGATGGCTGAAACCGGTTTGGCTCAGTGGATAAAGCGTTGGCCTGCGGACTGAAAGATCCCAGGTTCGATTCCAGTTAAGGGCATGTACCTTGGTTGCGGGCACATCCCCAGTAGGGGGTGTGCAGGAGGCAGCTGGTTGATGATTCTCTCTCACTGATGTTTCTAACTCTCTCTTCCTCTCTCTGTGAAAAATCAATAAAATGTATTTTTTAAAAATGGGGATGATGCCCAGAAAGGACTCACTAAGGAAGTGAATGGGAAATGCCCAGGAATGGAGAGGCTTCCTTTTCTGGACATTTGTCTCGGTTGTCAGCTGTGGAACATGCCTCCCTGTTAACTGCTTCGTGGGAGGCTCTGGAGGCAGGTGGTGGGGGAGAGGGGCGCCAGCCGGCCCGCGGCCGCTCACCGGTGTGAGTAGTAGAACATGATCTCCTCGATCAGCGTGAAGATGGCCAGCTCCAAGAGGAACCAGTGGAAGGTGGGCAGCTCCCGGCGGCAGGGGTCTCTCCACAGCTTGAGGGTGGGGTAGAGGAGGACCACGATGGGGAGGGAGATGAGGAGCTGGTTGAGCAGCACCGTGCGCACAGACTGGCGCAGTTTCACGGGGTCCACCTGCCCGGGGAAGGAAGGAAGGAAGGAAGGAGGTGGGACAGTGTGAGATGTAGGATCTTTTCTTCTAGAGAAGCTCCACTGTGACCCGCTCTCAGGAAGCCCTCGTTCAGAAGTGGGTACTCGGAGTGGCTGTCTGGCCATAGCTGGCAGCCCCTAACAGCTGCCCAGCCCCGGGGGACACCCTCTGGCAGGGCCTCTGCCCGCAGCCTTCAGTCTTCGCCTGAACCTGCCTTCTCCTTCCTGGTGCTGCAGCTGTCACCGCAGTGGGGCTGTGGAGCCTTCTGGCCAAGATCACTGCGCCCCCACCATCCCCTTCCTCAGAGCACTGGGGGTCCCAGGAATAGCCCCATAACCACGGGCCACTTTCTGGAGTCTGACGAGCTGGTGTAGGATTGGTCAGAAGGGATTCCTCCCGAGTCCCCTCTGCAAGCTGTAGGGGCTGCTGCAGAAGGTGAGCTGGGATTCATGGAGGTCCTCGGACTTCAGGCCTTCCCCTTCCTGCAGCTCTTCCAGGCACTACGTCATCAAGAGACGATGATCTGTAGCTATTTTAGAAGACGCAGCCTGAGGATTTAGGGTGAAATGTTATGATGTCTAGAACTTTTTCAAATGCTTAAGGCAAAAAGTTATAGAGGCACAGCTATTTACACTTTTATATATTGAAGAAACAAATGTAAAGTGTTTAAAAGTGGTGAACCCAGGTGATATGTAAATGAGCGATTGTTGTACTACTTTTGTATATATGTCTGCATGTGCTCATAATTACAAAATGTTGGTGGGGGGAAGAGTGGACAGAGAAGAGGTGGAAACTGTGAAGACTTTTGCTGCAAAGGAGAGCAAGCACATGAGTGGTAGTGAGTGTAGGAGACAGGGTCAAGGGTTTCTGTTTGGATTGTGGGTGATTTTTTTTTTTTAAATCCTCACCCAGGAATATATTTTTGTTGATTTTAGAGAGGAAGAGAGGAAGAGAGAGAGAGAGAGACAGAGAGACAGAGAGACAGAGAGAGAGAGAGAGAGAGAGAGACAGAGAGAGAGAGAAACATCAATTGGTTGCCTTCCAAATGCACCCCAACTGAGGATTGAACCAGCAAACCTGGGGATGTGCCCTGATGAGGAATCGAACCTGCAACCTTTTGGTGTACAGGAGAATGCTCCAACCAACTGACCCATTCTGCCAGGGCTGGTTTAGTGTTAAGATGGAAAAAATTATAGCATGTTGATAATAATCCAGAGGGGAGTAATCTAGGAAAGTAAGGAAACTAAAGACACATGGAGCCCTGGCGGAGTAGCTGTTGGTAAGGGTGTCATCCCAACACTCCAAGTTGTGGTTTCAGTCTCTGGTCGGGGCACATATGAGAAGCAACCGATGAATGTACGGATAAGTGGAACAACGAATCGATGCTCCTCTCTCCCGTTATAAATCAATAAGAAAAACTGTTTTTGAAGAGGAGGGAGAAGGGAACCATTTCCTGGAGTCAGCAGGAGGTGCTGCCTGCAGCTCACCGCTCCGGGAAGGCTGGCTGGGACCGGAGCAGGGAGAGCTCCCCGGGGGAAGGAGAGCAGGTGCTGGGGAGGCTGCGGGAGCTGCTCTGCTTCATGAGGAGGGAGCAAGGCTGTCCTGTTCCTGAGGTCAGAGGAAGAGGTGCGGGCACCAGAGGAAGGAGGGGAGGTGGGAACGCGCTATGCAGCAGTCAGGTGTCACTTGATCTGTTTCTGGTTTCGTAAGTGAGGGATCAGGCCTTTCTGGAACCGGCCAAAGACTGCGTGGCCTCCAGGGCTTCCTCCTTGCTTGTGTGTCTGCCCTGGGATGGCACAGTGTGGGGGGACAGGACTGCGGTCAGGGAAGAGGAGCCTTCCTGACCTCAGCTTCTGCTAACTGCGACACCTTCCCGTGTGGCTCTGCGATCGCTGTAGCCGGAGGTGTTACAGGGTCAGGGATATTCCTGAGAGCTGATGCAGCCTGTGGTTAGCAGCATGGGCCATGGTGTCAGAAAGCTTGAGTGTGGATCACGGTTCTGCTCATGTCATGTCTCAAAAGCCTCCGCTTTCTCATCTGAACCAGAAAGGTTATGACAGTGTGTGGCCTGGAGCATGTAAGCGTCTAGTCCACCGTGCGGGTAAGGAGAGCCCCTGACCTGACGGAGGAAGGCTCTCAGTGGCCTGGGTCCAGGGTGCTTTTCCCAGCCATTCTGCCCGCTGAGTGCTTGGCTGGGGCAGAGGGCCTGGGAGTGGAGGTGATCCACCCGGTTCCTGGGCAGATCATCAGAGATGCTTGTCTTCTGGAAAGAAGCCAGGGCATGATCTGAGCGGAGAATCACCTCTTCCTGGTTGGGTAAGAAAAGGCTTCTGGCCAAAACCGGTTTGGCTCAGTGGATAGAGCGTCAGCCTGCGGACTGAAAGGTCCCAGATTCAATTCCGGTTAAGGGCATGTAACTTGGTTGCGGGCACATCCCCAGGGGGGGTGTGCAGGAGGCAGCTGATGGATGATTCTCTCTCATTGAAGTTTCCAATCCTCTATCCCTCTCTCTTCCTCTCTGTAAAAACTCAATAAAAATAAAAATTAAAAAAAAAATTTTTTTTAAAGAAAAGGCTCTGGAGGCAGTCAGAGTGCCAAGCAGGTCAGCTGGGCTCGGGGCCGTGGGCTCACCGGGGTGCTGTGTGCGTGGGTGTGTCTTTATCATGAACAAGCTAAGTGCTAGGGGTTGGCTGAATAACTGGGAAGGAGGACCTGCTTGCAAAACAAGCACCACCCACACATTCAGCATCCATACTGTCCGCCCAGCACGGAGGGGTCAGCCATTGTTTCCACAGGTGTCTTCCACACACGACAGCTGTCACCATGTTCCAGCAGCCACCACTGACGTCCCTGCTCCTGTGGCTGAGTGGGGGCTGCTTGCATCTCCAGGACTCAGCCCAGTGCCAGGCTGAGCCGGTCACTCCTGCTCCTACAATGCCGACCCCAGCGCTGTGGGGCCGCACAGGCAGGGACAGCTTGGGGTGGGACCAGGAGACCAAAACAGTAGTCTTGACTGGCTGGCTCTGAGAGTTGGAACAAACTACTTCCTCTCTTTAACCTTATAACTTGGGGGAGCCTCGTACACCTGAACTTGGCTTGCCCTGGCCACCGTCTCTCCTGGGCCAGCGGTGAGGATTTTGAGAGCATGGCTGAGCCCCTGCTTTCTGGGCTGTGACAGGGCGGAGCTGTGGCAACTCTTACCGGCTCATTCTTGCCAAGCTGAATCCGGTAGCGGGAGATGAAGTTGGGTTTCCCGGTTGTGTCAACCACGAGTAGGAGCCCGTTGATAGTCCAGAATGACAGGACAGGCATGTAGGTGGCACCTAAGGTTGAAAAGCAGAGGGGACAATCAGGGCGACTTCAGGTTCTCATGGCATGTGCATTAGGACCACGCACTTGATGGTGACCCAGCCGGCGTTGTGAACAGTCCCTTGTCAGGAAAGTCTTGGTACTCCAAGCCAGGAGTCCTACCTTTAGTGACAGACTAGCTGAGGGGAACTTTGACAGGCCATTTAAGTGTCTTTAGCGCTAGCTAGTTTGGCTCAGTGGATAGAGTGTCAGTGTGCAGACCGAAGGGTCCCAGGTTTGATTCCAGTTAAGGGCACATGCCTGGGTTGCGGGCTTGGTCCAATGTTCAGGAGGTAGCCAATCAATGATTCCCTCTTATCACTGACGTTTCTATCTCTCTTCCTCCCCCTTCCTCTTTGAAATCAAGAGAGAGAGAGAGAGAGAGAGAGAGAGAGAGAGAGAGAGAGAGAGAAAGAGATGTCTTAATTTCTTTTCTTAGTTTTAATACAACTGACTTGGTCAGTGGTCGGCAAACTCATTAGTCAACAAAGTCAAATATCAGCAGTACAATGACTAAAATTTCTTTTGAGAGCCAAATTTTTTAAACTTAAACTTCTTTTAAGCCACTTCTTCAAAATTGACTTGCCCAGGCCGTGGTATTTTGTGGAAGAACTACCTACACTCAAGGGGCCAAAGAGCCGCACGTGGCTCGCAAGCCGCAGTTTGCCGACCACAGGTCTAGGTGGTTAAGGACATTTTTAAAAATATATATTTTTATTGATTTTTTTACAGAGAGGAAGAGAGAGGGATAGAGAGTTAGAAACATCGATGAGAGAGAATCATTGATCAGCTGCCTCTTGTACACCCCCTACTGGGGATGTGCCCGCAACCAAGATACATGCCCTTAACCGGAATTGAACCTGGGACCTTTCAGTCCACAGGCCGATGCTCTATCCACTGAGCCAAACCGGTTTCGGCAGTTTTTAAAATTTTGATGTCTTGCCCAGGTGGCGTGGCTCAGTGGTTGAGTGTTGACCTATAAACCAGGAGGTCATGGTTTGATTCCCAGTCATAGTACATGCCTGGGTTGCCGGCTCGATCCCCAATAAGGGGCTGCACAGGAGGCAGCCGATCAATGAATTTCTATCATCATTGATGTTTCTCTCTCTCTCTCTCTCTCTCTCTCTCTCTCTCTCTCTCTCTCTCTCTCTGTCTTTCCCTGTTTTATATATATAATAACAAAAAAATTTGTGATGTCTTATAAATTCAACTATATCTAATGTATAAGATTAATACTACTACATTTAAGAGTGGTTATTTCTTGGATATGGGAGAATGGGTGATTTTTCACCTTCTTTATGATTATTTGAATGGTCTGATTTTTGTTTTAGCAATGAGCATGTATTTATCTTTAATAACCAAGTCTTTTACTTCGGAAAAAAAAATATTGGGTTGGTGGTTGCCTTGTGGGCCATCCATCAGGGTGGCTGCCTACTTGGAAATCCAAGGGCTCCTTAAGGAATACAGAATAAAAACCACAAGAGATGATCTTGAACTTAACATAGCGTTAACATTTACAATTGCAAGTATTTTCTGTCTGATGAGGTGATAGCTGGGTTCTCATCATTTTAACAGAAATACATGAAATGTTTTCCCACCATTTTCCCTACAGACATTTGCAATCTACACTGCTCTTTTCAATGACTGCTTACGATTTCTTTGGGGGGGGAAAAAGATCCCTTTGAACCAGTCATATTAAACATTCAGCCCATTTTCAGTTATCCTCCGAGCTGAAAACATGGAACATTTTATTTGTATTTCCGCTTTGTGACAGCTGACACTTTTTTATCTCCCCTTCTAGGCTGTGACAGAGGTTTCTGATGGGGTAGAGCACACTTTATCTTAAATATCTCCACATCTTCTGTGGAAGTTTGGCACAGAGGAACATTAATAAGTCTTCCTTGCATGGCCGAGGGCATTCACTATTGTAGATAATGCTGTTGTAAATCGCTGACATGACTTTTTCTCAGCTTGTTTTGAGTCATTCACATTGTCAGTAAATATTTGAGTGACGCTTGCTCTCCAGCCCCAAGCTAGATGGCACCGAGTACCAGATCATGGCTCACATGACATTGAGAAGCTGCCTGGCTTCTAAAAGCCAGGAGTATTGCTCTGAACTTGCCTTCATTTTCACACTCTTTATTTTTCCCATTTTGGGGCAGACGGAGGCCTCCATTTCTCAAGTTCTTTTGTTATATGCCTATGGGCATCCATTCCAGATGCCACAAGTTGAGCTCTCTTGGGGGTTACCACTGACTTAAACTTGAAGTCCTTATTCCTTGTAATAATGAGCTGAGAAGCCCCAAAGTAGAGGGCAGACCGTGGGGAAAGGAACTAGGGTCGGGACCCCAAGCTCTCGGTGCTGGTGGTCTGGGAGCTCACCTGTCACGAAGAGGATCCACTCCTTCCCTTCGTATGTGAGCAGCAGCCTCTCCCACTGGGCTTGCCAGAAGTGGCCAGAAGCACCCCAGAATCTCTGAAGATGCCTTGGGGGGAAACCAGGTTCCTGGGTGAAGACTGGTGGGTGCTCTGACCCCAGACCCCCACCCCCTGCCCTCCAGTCTGACAGACTCACCATGTGACGGAGTTCCAGAAGGCCACCAGCAGGAGAAGGCCGGAGCCCAGGATGAAGGCGGTCCTCCGCATGGAGCCCCAGATGTGTCCCTCCTGTGGAGGACAAGACAGCGTCAGGCCCCTGCAAGCCCGCGCCCACGCAGCCCGCAGCGGGAGCTGGCAGGAGCGCCGAGCGATCGTGATCGGGATCTCAGCCACGCCAGCTCCGCCGACCTTTCCCCAGTCTCTAGGGAAGGCTCATCCTTATCAAGAGCCCCACGCTGCAGGTGGGTGTGTTTATGAAAACCAGAGCTCAAGGTTGTGGGGAAGGTGGGGAGGGAACCGACCTGACTCCAGAGAGACTGGCGGGCGGTTCTGTCCCCCAGAGGAAGGCAGGAGCCTTCCAACAGCGGTGAGCTTTGTCACCGTCCTCCCGGGAACAGACACCCATTATGCAGGCATTGAGTCACCTGGGAGCCCTTTCAAAACACCAGGCCCCTCCCAACCCAGTTATGTAAGCCAGGTTTTTCACCGCTTCCCGGCCAATGCCAAGGCCGAGACAGCCAGCACAGGAGGCCCTGCAGAACCCTCAGTGAGGGCCCCAGGACTGCACTGTGCGAGGCCCATTTTCCCATACCCGTCTCTGCCTGCCCCTGAAGAAAAGAGTAAGTGAACATCTGTTCTGGCTTTTAATAACTCCTCGTCCTTCCAGCAAGACCAGCCAAGGTTGCCAGCCGGACAGGACAGTGGGCAGGTCGAAGAACAAAGCGCAGGCCACTGGCAGCCACGGGAGGTGCTTCTGTGACCACCAAGAGCCTAAGGCGGCGACCATGGCAAACCTGTGGTGCACACAGAAGGTGCCAGCCTTGGGGAGGAGGACCTGGCGCCAGGGGAGGCAGTGCTGCGGCCCGGTGGACAGGACTGCGGACATCCTCACACCACCTGTGTCTAAGCCAGAGGAGTCCGCCCGGAGTCTTCCTGGGGGGAACTGGAGAGCTGGGCCCCCCACCAAGGGTCAGGGGGTGTTGTGGGGGGGGGGGGGTGTCAAACAGGACACTTGTTTTCATCCAGACGTTTGAATCTACAGGACCAGATGGTTTTGATGGATCCATTCATAGCAACCTGAGTCTGCACTGAATCATTTCTTCTCTGCTTACCCATCCCACCTTTGATCAAAAGACCAAACAAACAAAAAAACACAGGTCTTTGTCCGGGGCCACTTAGAAGTTAAAGGGCTGGTGCTCCTCGGGGCCTTCGCTCCGAGGACCAGAGGGACTTGTTCTTGGACTGAAGCAGGTGTTCACTGCAAGGCCTCCCTGAACTCCTCAGGCCGGTGGCCCTGGGCTTCTGCAATGATTCCTCTTCTAGGACTCAAAGGGCCCTTCTCAAGAACCTTTCCAGACTCACTAGAAATTTTTCATTTGAGTTTAATCAAATGAAACCAAGTCGAATTGAAAACCTCAATTTCATGCTCAGGTTTAGGTATTTTTTCCAGGGCCTGTGGTGGTTTCTCTCTAGCAGCCCGAGTGGAAAAACATGCCGCACCGAAGCTAGCTGCGTCAGGAGCCGGTTCCCAGTTCCTGCTCCCAGGCCCCAGTGGGCCTCTCTGGTCCCCGGAGCAGTTCTGGAGAGGGTGGTGGCAAAGGCCTGAGACATGGGACATCCTAAGGGCCAAGGGACTATGGGAGGGTAGCTATGGGGCTGGCTGGCTGTTCCCTGGGGCAGGCAGAGGGGCTTTGCTTATAAGGAAGCTTGCCATCACGTGCTCTTGGCTCAGCTACTGAAATGAGCTCCTCGGCAATGTGGCAGTTCCCCCTAATCCTCGGGAGACTGTGAGCGAGTGTAGAGACGGAAAGGGCCACTGGCTGCCTTCCCACCCGTGTGGTGGGAGCTGGCGTTTACCTGCTTCGGCTTCTCATGGCGCTGACGTCCAGCTTCCCCCTTCATCTGCAATAAGGAAGCACAGGTGAGTCTGGATGCACTGCACGTGCGGCCAAGGAAGTAGGGAACAGAAAAGTCACGGGGCATGGCTAGCAGTGATTTTAAAAAATATATATTTTACTGATTTTTTTTTTTTTTACAGAGAGGGAGAGGAATAGAGAGTTAGAAACATTGATGGGAGAGAAACATGGATCAGCTGCCTCCTGCACACCTCCTACTGGGGATGTGCCCCCAACCAAGGTACATGCCCTTGACCGGAATTGAACCTGGGACCTTTTAGTCCGAAGGCCGATGCTCTATCCACTGGGCCAAACCTGTTAGGGCGGGCATAGCTAGCGGTGATTTTTAATGCTGGAGACTCATTAAAATCACCTGGGGAGTTTTAAAAAGTTACTCTGGCCCTGGCCGGATAGCTCAGTTGGTTAGAGCACTGTCCCAATATGCCAACGTTGTGGGTTGGATCACCAGCCAGGGCACATATAAGAATTAAACAATAGTTTAATTAAACAATAGTCTACGGCCATACCACTCTGACCAAGCCCGATTTCGGAAGAATTAAGCAATGAATGCATAAATAAGCAGGATAACAAATTGATGTTTCCCATTCTCTCTCTCTCTCTCTCTCTCTTTCTCGCCATCCCTCCTCTCTTTCTCAAATCAATAAGTTAAAAAAAATTTTTTACAAGGTTGCTCAGTAACCTTGTCAGGGGGCTGCCAATGGGACTTTGCCTGGAATAGGCTTTCTCAGATTATGGGATGTGACAAATCCTTCTTTTTGAGTAGCTTCACTCTCTGCCTCAGTATTACTCTCATCCAGAGGGAATCTCTGTCCTTATCTGCCAATGACTCTGGCCCAGGAGCCAGGGCTCTGTCTGACTCACTCGGACAGCTTTCTTAACCTCTGTGAAGTCAGGTCACCACACATGGGTGGGGTTTGTCACACTGAATAACATGGAAGCATTCTGTAAGCTGTGGTTCAAATGGTAGATATATTTATACACAGAAATCATTAAGACAGTGAGCCTGAAATCTTATACTTTTCTCAAGGTCACACCTCAGTCATAGCTATCACTTACTAGTTCTTGAGACTGTGGCCAAGTTGTCCTCTCTGAGCCTTGGTTTCCTTAGCTATGAAATGGGAATAACAGCAGTGTTTTTCACTCATGTGATCTCTGCTGGGAGAGTTGTGAGAAATATCCACATGCACCCTGACCGGGGATCGAACCCACCACCTTTTGATGTACCGGAAGACACTCCCAATCACTGAGCCACCTGGTCAGGGCCTCACCTGGTTGAAGAGGGGCCTGGAAAATCACCTGGTCCCACCATATGACCAGGATGAAAGAGCCTCGTCAAAGGAGGCTACAGATGGCAAAGCCAAGATCGGGGTCCCGCTTCCCATCTCTCTAAGGACATTTTATTCTTCGTGTTGATGGTTGTACCTGGTTTTATTATGCATGTTCACCAGCTACAACCGCAGGAAACTGCTTTCCTGGATCCACATTTCTTATGTTACTCAGGTGGAAGGAAGAAAGAACGGTGACTTACAAAGTTAGGACAGCAGAGGTGGTGCCAGGCAGGCTCTCCGTCTCCACGGGGAGCACATTATGGCAGGAGGGACACAGGCAGCTCAGAAAAAAGGCCTGTCAGGGAGAAGTGCTAGGACATTGATACCCAGCCAGGGAGATAGCATAGATTTAAGAAAAGGCGTCTGAATGTTTGGCCAGTGTTGGCCCAACTCCCACCTAAGCCCCCAACTCCAACCCAGCCCCAGCTGGGCCTGCTTTTGCCCCCTCCTCCAGCTCCCTCTGTGGCCCGGAAGACAGCAGGGGACCTGCTGTGGCTTATAGCTGTGGAGTTTTGTCTCCCTGGGAGTGCTCATGAAAACTCACGAAAGAATCTGGCCAGTGTGGCTTGGTTGGGCATTGTTCTGGGCACCAAGAAGTCGCCAGTTCAATTCCTGGTCAGGGCACATGCCCGGGTTGCAGGCTCACTTCCCGGTATGGGGCATGCAGGAGGCAGCCGATCAATGATTCTCTCTCATCATTGAGGTTTCTCTCTTTCCTCTCCCTCTCCCTCTGGTTCATGGGTCGACACTCAACCATTGAGCCCTAATGGCTAGGTCAAAGAATTCTCCTTTGAATAACGCTTTTTCTCCACCTTCACTGTCCAGAGCATTTCTGATTGGCCCGAACCGGAGTCTGGCCCACATGGTCACGGTGGACAAGGCCCCATTCAGACAAGCCACCCTTCGTGCAGTGACAGGATCCTGGGATGAATGAGGCAGATCCCTTTCAATCCTGCTGTCTGCCTGCTCCCCGAAGCACAGTCATTAGGCAGAGGAAGGCGGTGCTAGGCACCTGCGGGGATAAGCCTGTCAGGTGTTTCATAATAAGTTAGTAATATTAAAGGAAACACCATGTTGGGAAAGACGTGGAGAATAAGCATCTGTAAGCCATTTGCAGGTAGAACGTTCACACCAATTGAAGATATTCCTTAAACCAGCGTGGGTTTCCCTCCTCAGGGCTTGCTCGGAGTAGGAACTGTTCTGTTGATCCTGTTGAGGTAAGCATCTTGTTTGGGAAGGAAGCTGAGGAGATTGTCGGTCTGTATGTCTTAAGCTTCCAGAACTCTCTGGGCTATGCTAAGCCCAAAGAACTTCATTTACAAGTCGGTCTCATTTCTAGCCTTTCCCAGTGTCTTATCACTACTATCTTGGAACAACTAAGACATGACCTTTGATCTGTTAGAAGCTCCTCTAATCCTCCTGCGGTTATTTACTCTGTGCAGAGAATTTACTCTGTGCAAGGAGCCCTGGAGCCAAGGTCCATATGGAGAGCCCTGGGCTAGAGGTCTGGGCCGGAGCTGAGAAAATGCGGAGTAGGGCAGGGGATCTGGCTCACGTCAGCAATCTTTAGAAAAGGACCACGTACAGGTTCCTCTGTGCTCTGCCATACCTGGTTTCAAACCTCAACACGGGTCCTCTCTCTCCCAGGCTGGGTTTTACCTTACCCAAGGAATGTTTTAGTTAAACCATACTTTTTTTTTTCTTCTTTTCTTTTTAAGGCAAGATAGATGTAGAATCTGCCATGTGAATATAAAATCTGCAATTGAAGATATTCCTTATTCCTTATTCCTTATCCATTATTTAGTTCCCCCAAACGAATTAGTGCACATAAGTTTTCTCTTTGGAAGAAGTGGTATGCTTTCTCATAGAATGCAAAAAGAAATAGGCAATTCTCCACCAACACCCTTTTTTGTTGTTTATGAGGAAAGAGAGAAACACTGACCTGTTATTCTGCTTATTTATGCATTCATTGGTTGCTTCTTATATGTGCCCTGACATTAGATCAAACCCCCAGCCTTGGCGTAATGGGACGACATTAACCAACTGAGCCACCTGGCCAGAACCCACCATCACCCATTTTGCTTTAGCTTCCAGACAGCTCAGAGTGAAATTTACTCCAATTATACTTCAGATTTTTTTTTTCTATTTATATAACCTAACTAGAAGTCCAATGCACAAAATTTGTGTAAGAGTACGGTAGGCCTTCCTTCCCCCACCCTGAACGCTGCCAGCACCGGCTTCCCTCCGGCTTCCCTCTGGCACCCTGGACGCAGGCTTCCCTCATAGCCCTGGGCTTCGTCCAGAAGGTCGTTGGGAAGGACATCTGGTCTAATTAGCATATTATGCTTCTATTATTATAGATTATATAAAATATGATGATGTGTATGCAAAGCTGTTCATTGTGAAATTGTTTTAATGGCAAGAGATTGGAAACAACTTAAATTCCATCAAGAAAGGATTGGTTAAATAAATCAGAGTACATCCAGTAATGATGCATTCTGCAGCCATGGAATAGAAATAAGGCAGTTTGGGGTGTACTCTTCAGAAATATTAAGTGAAGAAAGCAATGTGTAGAACATGTGCAACCGTGCATGAGTATATTTGCATGCTGTTTACATCTGCATAAAATAACACACGTACTATTAGACTAGCCCTGGAAGAGGATCTGAGACTGGTATGGTGGCTTCCGGTGAGGGAACTGGGCAGCTCAGGGGGCAGAAGCAAGGCTGTCTTTATACCGTGTGCCTTTTTTCTGTTTTGGATTCTATGCCATGAAAATTATGAAAACATTTAAACAGTTTAAATGACTGCAGTGCCCATTCATAGGAAACATTTTACTGAAGAGTCATACAGTAATTTGCGCTCCCTCTACTTTAAATCAATGATAATTTCAATTCCTGAAGGCTGTTGAGAAGTCTTTGTCTCCCTTGAAATGGTATGACAGTTTTCCTGTGTTCATTTTTTCAGGGTGAAAGGATCCCCAGCTTTCATTAGACTGTGGAAGGTAATGATGACGATTAAGAGCCAATGCAATGGTTTTCTTCTTCTTCCTTCTATTCCTTCCCCTCCCCCTGCTTTTTTTTTTAAATAAATTTTTATTGTTCATATTATTACAAATGTTCCTTTTCCCCCCACCACCACCATTGCTCTCCTCCACCAGGTTCCCACCCCACCCTCTGCCCTTTCCCCACCCCCCATTGTCCTCATCCATAGGTGCACAGTTTATGTTCAGTCTCTTCCCACATCCCCCTCTCCCCTTTTCCTCAAGAATCATCAGTTTACTCCCCTTCCATACCTCTGATTCTATTATATTCACCAGTTAATATTGTTCATCAGATTTTTTTTTAATTTCTTTGGTTTTTAGATTCACTTGTTGATAGTTACATATTTGTTGTTCATAATTTTTATCTTTATTTACTTTCTCTTCTGAAAGAACCCCCTTCAGCAATTCATATAATTCTGGTTTGGTGGTGATGAACTCCTTTAGCTTTTTTTTTTATTAGTGAAGCTATTTATCTGGCCTTCGATTCTGAGTGATAGCTTTGCTGGGTAGATTATTTTTGGCTGTAGGTTCTTACTATTCATCACCTTGAATATTTCTTGTCATTTCCGTCTGGCCTGCATGGTTTCTGTTGAGAAATCAGCTGACAATCGTATA